GGCGCGGCGTCCGCAGGCTCTGCGCGGAGCGGCGACGAGCAACCCCCCAGCCCCGCCGCCGCGCCGGCGCCTGGAGCTCGCCTGCGAAGGAGTCCAGACGCCTAGCAGGCAAGATCCTCCATACTGTGCTGGCTGTTTCTTGTGCAGTCTGTGCCGCCCTCTGTATATGCATTGCACACCGGAATAGTCTGCAGCGGAGATTGCGCTGTCTAAGTATGCTATTTGTTATACAGCCTATACCGTAATGCTATGTGTGGGTAGCGGTAGCGTGCGTTGTGGCCGGATCCTCAGCCCCGCAGGACCAGGGCTTCGTTGTGCTCCGGGCTTGACAAATACAGAGACATGGCGGCAGCCTTGCCTGTGCTTTGCTGTAAGCGTAGGCATCGTATCGCCGGAGCTAATTGCGCACCGGTTAACCGGGGGCTGAACCACGTGCCTGAGCCCGGGCAAGGCGGTGGCAGGGCTGGGGGCTGCAGTCCAGCCCGGGGTACCTGCTCTGGGCTGCTCTGCCTACAGCCTCACCACACACACGCTCAGGAACCCAGGCCCGCAGGGAAGGGGTCATTCCTGTGTATAGACACCTCTATGTCAACACTGTGTATGTTTGTTAATTATTTAGTAAGCATATAGGGCTGTACACCATTGCTCATGCACCGTTCATTGTGTTTTGCACTGCTTGTTGTTAACCCTGATCTCTTTTTCATAGCTTAAGAAATACAGGGAGTGTGTGCCATAAGAAACCCTTTTATTTCTCATTCCTCTCGTGTCCCATCTTCTGGGTTTGGCAATGCAGGGACTGCCTAATGGAACAGCTGCCGTGCAGCATAAGCAATATTATACAATTTTGTAATAGATTTGTCTACCTCAGCGCATGTCTCTAGTGCAACGGAGACGAGCCGTGGTTTGCTGCACAGCGTCCTCCGGCAAGCCCCTGGAGGGGATGGCCCTGGCTCTGCTGCTTTTCTCCAGCAGATTTGTCCGTTTGCAGGCTGGTGACTGACGGCACGTTCTGCGCTCGCCAGCGTCCTCGTATTTCACGTCATCTCATGCCCTTTGCATGCTGTCTTTGTAACTCTTTATTTTTTGAGATCGAGAATTTATGAATCAAAAGATGGGGGAGTGGAGCCATGTGGAGGCTGAGTCAGATTGTGAAAAAGGAAAGCCAAGCGAGAGTGTGCAATTGCATATCACATTTACAAACACGGTTTCATTCATCTCCATATGTTGCTCCTGTTACTACTAATAAAGCTCTGGTTTCTCAGGCTGGTGCTACCCTGGGAATGCTGTTTGATCTTCCTGGTGTTTTTACTCTATAGCCTCCACAGTATTTTTGTTACAGTGTGTTATTTTCCTGATTATGTTTTTATTACATTGAACACATGTTAATAACAGAAAGAATCTGATAATATGAATGTACTTCCCACACCCTCTTCTTTTGTTCCTATTATTCAATCTGCAAAGGAGTGACAGATTATTTACCAGCAGCAATTTTTTCCCTCTATACTGGTAAGATTTCCTAATTATGAAAACAAAAAAAGCCTTTTCCCTGAGCATGCACCCCTGTTTGCTTCCTCTTTCTTTCCTCATCCTGCTAATGATACCCAACTCTATCATGGTGATTTTGGAGCTGCAGGAAATCTAGCTTTGTCTACTAAAATATTTCTACAGAAGCCTCTATACGCAAAGGGAGCCAGAGAGCAAGGTCTGCTTTAGGCGTAATGGTGTCTGGGGTTTTCTTTCCTGGCAGGGAGGTATAACTGTGGAGTGTACAGTAATTAATTTAATCCAACACTGGGAGAGAAGAAGGAAGAAGATGGACTGTATTGGGAAAAAATAAGGTTTTTTAAAGTTTCAGATGTAACGTGTAAGCGGCAATTTCAATGACATTCATGATTTCTATTTTAGACAAAAGGCAGCAACCTAGTACAAGGGTATCGTTTGTCTTCTCCTGGCCTCATCCTTTGTTCTCTTTGGGTTTAGCCTGTCACTTTCCAGGGCTTGATACTGTCCCTCATTGGGGCAGCAACACCTCTCACCCGTGACTCTCAGAAGTGCTGTTGTGGCAGGTGATTTTTTATCACCAACTGCTTATTTCACATTTTCTCTGCTGAGCAAGGTCTTTCCTTCTTATGACCCTCCGCGTCTCTCTTCTCTGTCTTATTTATGCTTCAGTATTTCTGTCTTGCCAAACATTGTGCTGGTTACTTTACCTTCCCCCTTCTCTCCGCTTTTTGTCCACTCACACCTTTTCTCTCATTTTTGTCCCCTTTCATGTATCCTCTCCTTCCATCTTTTTATTTCTCTTCTTCTGTCCCAGTTTTTATACTCTTTCTGTCTCCTTTCTGACATCTCACCTCAGTTCACTGCCTTACTCTACCTTCCTCTTGACATTTTTTCTCCACGCTGTTCCTTTGGTCATTGTCCTCCTTCATCCTTTCTCCTGACTTATATTTACATATATATGTGTGTATACATATGTCTCTGCTCCACTCTAGATCTTCCATTCTCCAGCTGAAACAAAATAATGACTTCTTATGTTGATAGTCTGATCCTATTGCATCCCTTTCTCAGCAGCTGAAATACGCTGCTCCTGCCCATCCTCAAACACACGTATCGGGTAGACTGAAGAATTAAGTATGTGGGAAATGTTCCTAAATTCAGCAGTGGACTTGAGAAAGCGGCTTGCTCAGGCTGCACCGTGAACAGAGCAGTTATCGTGCCCCCACTGACAGTACCAGAGGAGGATTGTAAGCCCCCTGAACCCACGGAACTAATGGCATTTTCTTCACATTTCTAATTTTCTGATTTTTGGTAATGAAAACTGTAATTTTAGATAAGGGACACCGCCATCTATTTGAATGATCCCTTGAATCCTGGACTGATCCAAAATAAGACCCCACAAAATGCTTTTCTTTTTTGCCAATTGTTTTGTTTTATACATTTGTTAAGCCACTTTTGTGCAGCTATTGGGAGAGAAATGCTTTTTTCCTCGTCAGAGCTAAGCTCTGCCTCTGAAAAGGGCTCTGTGTGGGGCGAGGCTAGGATCTCGGCTCATCAGCTTCCCTTTTTTTCTGGAGCCAGAGGGAGAGGAGAGAGCTGTGACTGTAGGATCGTATGCATTGGGTGGGAGATGGAAGAATAGATGCATAACCCAAAAATGCTACATTAACCTCAGGGGGTGGGGGTGGAGTTGTTTAATAATATTTCCCCTTGACTATCACTGACTACAAACAGCATCACTGGGGATCAAGGGCAAATGTTAGATTTTGCTATTTAAATAAGACTCTTAGTTTAAAAAAAATCTGATTTAATAATTAAACTATTTTTTTTGTCTTTCAAAAAAGCATAGTGCTAACTGGCTGGAATGAAAACAGCTCCATCCCACGGATTCCACCTCCGCTTTCTGGCAGCTTACCTGACTCATAAAGAGAGGGGGGGATTTTATATGCCACCTACATCAACTCAACATTTTCCTTTGTGGTGAGAGTTAATCACCACCCTTGTCATATTATTTCACCGACCTTCTTGAAGTTACAATCTGTCAGGGGGGATTGTTTATCTTTCAAACCAGCCCTAAAACTTCTTATAGAACAGGGTTTTTTTTCTGAATTTGGTGAAAATACACAGGCAGTCCATTGCAATAAGGTTTTCTGTGTTATTTGTTAAAAACTGGCATTTACCCCAGGATCAGGGAAGAGAGGTTCAATTTGCAGAGTACTCATCTCTGACATGAGATGTGCCGCCTGGGGAGTTGAGATGCATCAGCTGAAGGTAGAGGACCATCCCCCAGGTAATTATTGCAGGAGGTGTGCGCTGAGGAAGAAACTGGGGGGTTGTAGCCACGATGATCAAGGATTTAAGAGGGCAAAGTTTTGTCAGCAGAGGCAATGTTTATATTAGACGGAGTCAGGAAAAATGGACATGTTTTGGGGCACATAAAATCTCTCCTTATAACCTGTTTGTATAACCTATGTGACCCTGTCTCTTGTGAGGAGAGAGATTGTATGTAGTAGACTGATATTTGTCAAGCAGAAAATGCTAAACAAAAGAAGACGGGAAGATAAGAATGAGAAAAAAACACGAAAGTGGCGATACAATAAATACAGCGTGCGCAGGAGGCAATGGAAGAAGGGGTAGGAAGAACTGAAAGTGCACCTCCAGGAAGGTTATTGGGAGTTACAAAGAGGACATGAGTTACCCTGGAAAGTGAGAGGAAGCTTGAGCAGAAAAGCGTGTGACATTTTTGCAGAAAAAATTGTTGTCATGAGGTACAGGGAGGGTAGAGAGGAAGGAACAGCTGAGACCGCACTGGAGCTCAGCACTTAAAGAGAAATCTTAGTGTGAAGGAGGGCCAGGGAAAGCATTTGATAAGAGCCTCCTCGTTTCTCTGTCACAAGGGCAGGCAGAATCAAGGAATGGGAAGGAAAGGGGAAAAGCAAAAGAACTGAAGTGAACCATTGACAAATGTGGATGAAGGAAGGGTAGGGAAGCTGCTGCCATGTTGACAGAAAGGGAGAAGTCCTCTTTGGGTCCCCTGTGGGACCTAGAAAATGATTGAGTAACAAGTGGGGTGCTACAAGACAGGAGGCAGGGAGCATCCCATGAGGAACAAGCTGTCTGACCGTACCCAATATAAATATGGGTTATTTCCATTCTTGATGTGTGTAAGCTTTAAAATGCATTGCAGAATAGCAGGTATGGATGCTGCAGCTGTCTCGCCGTTCCTGTCACACCTTTCTCTTTCTCCCACGCCAGAATTAATCCCATATTCTCTCCTCTCCTGCACTGTAAGTCTTCAGCCCAGCTCTGATCGTCCTTCTTATTGATTGCGCCTGCCTGATAACTGGGGCACAACTCAAGATAAGGACTCAGGAGTCACCCGCAAAGATGTGCTTCGTGAAGCAGAGGCACTAACGAGCTCTGCAGAGGGTGCGTGCTGAGAGAGGCACCAGCAGGGAGGAAGAAGAGCAAAGGGCGAGTACTTCATCTGAGGAAGAAACACGTTGGGAGACTGTAGCAGTGCGGAAACTAAAGGTGTGGAAGCCTCAGGAGGAAAATGAGTGTAGGAGGATGGAGCCATGGATGATTAAAAATAACAGTATGGTACAGATAATGTGGCACTCCACTGGCATTTTAAACCTGCTGCCTTTGAAAACCCTTCTGTGTTTTGAAAAGCAAGCCTTACATTTAATTGTTCTAATTGCTACTGACCAGACAGGACCACTGGCATTTTGGAGCTGTCATTTTGTCCAGCAACCCCCATTTTCTTCACTGCTGGTCCGGTGGTTGCAACTGAGTCTTCAGCAGAGGGCTCTTTGCACCCCTGCCTGAAGTAAATATTGATGTATCCCTAATTATGCTTTGATTTCTCTGGAAGGGAGATGGCCTTTTTTAGCTTGTATCAGTATAGTGACTGGCACACTACGTCCATGTGATAATGATGCTATCACAAATTAGAGCTAAATTAAAACACCATTCACAGGCAATTTGTATGATGTGGCATTTGGGCATGGGCTATCCTGGCCTGAAAGCCATTTTTCTCAATGTTTCTGGAGAACTGCAAGCTTTTAAACCCCGTGGCTATACAAAGTAATGTGTTAGTCTCTGTACGAACATCACATGTTGGACGGGACCAAGTGGCAGCAAACCTACTGGGGCTTTGAACCTCCTGGCATTTGAAATGGGTGTGAGAGAAAGAAGGAAGGAACAATAAAGAAAAGAATAAAAGAAAGAGAAGTGCAAAGTGAAGGACCTCTGTGCATTTTGATAACAATTCTTCAGTAGCACAGCAACATAGAACAGAAGGACATTGCCTGGTTAATGTAGAGCAGTTACTTGCTACTGCCAGAGCCATATCCTAGAAATACTTTTTTTTTTTTAATCTGGTTTTGTCTTTGAACTATGGAAGGTATGGGTTTCTTCCTCTTTCTCCCCTCCTCTGTTGCCCTCATCCTCCCACTTCCAAGTATGGATGTAAGTGAGGTTCCTTCTCATCTCCAGCGTAAATTTATCCATGAATATTTTAAAATGGTTTATTGTCAGTTCTTGTGCCAGAGTTTACTTTTACCTTCAATAACTCTTGTGTCCTTAGTGCTCACCCCTATCTATTTCTGGGCAGTAGACAGCTCCCTCTTAGGTGGAGCTGTCCCAGCCATGCTTTTCTCCTCTCCTTCCATCTAACAGGCTCTCCATTTTCCTGCTTTGTACAGAAAATGACCTCTAACGCTCAGAGGACTTTCCGCCTGTGGTAATGTGATCTAGTGGCTGCAGCAGAGAAAGGTGTCAGCAGTCCTGGATTGTATTCCCGATCTGGTTATTGGATGATGTGGGATCTGGGGAAGGACATTTATCTTTGTTTCCCCGCAGGCTCCAGTAATAGTCACGCATCTCCATTTTACAGTAAAATTGCTGTCACCGTGCCAAATTAATTATTAATACACACATTACAATATTTTCAGTATCCTGTAGCAATGAAATCTGACTCTGTGCCACTCGCTGCCCTTTAGCTTGTGACATGGCACGCAGTCCTTTTGGATGTACCCGTGTGGTACCCACAGCTCCTGCATTTACACTCCATGTTCCCAGGCACCCACGCTTTACAGCCATGATAAAGCAGCTTTCACGTATTCCTGACTTTCTCATTAATTGCATGCTTTCCACTATTTTTTTTTTAAATCATTTTTAGGACTTGCTGAAATGTGGGTAATGTAACTGGGAAACGATGATTGAAGTTACAGACTCTCATTTAGAAAGAATGTCAGTCATGATTGATTACAGCTGCACACATCATGCCCTCGCCTGGCTCTTTCTCCGCACATAGGAGGAGAGTTGGTGGTGCTCACTGCCCAGGTCTGTTGCACATACGTGCATTAGACCCATATACGTGGCATGAAGGTTGTTAAAAAGTTTTGCTGGGATTGTTTCACCCCTGTCATTGAGGACATGGTAATACTTAACGTTGTGATGTACCCATCACATCACTCTTAAAAGCCTTAATGACCTTGGTCTGTTCTAATTGATCTGGTCTAATTTGGGAATATAGCTTTCTGCTTTGGCATGGTTTTCTATCCATACATATTACTCCCAGTCAACGTGGTATGGACAGAGTTTGGGGTATGATCCCTGCTTTTGTTTCTTTTTGCTACACAAATTATCTGTAGCACTGGAAAGGGTCACAGAAACATACTGAAACCTGGGGATGGAGCATGTGGGAGGAAGAGGTGCCACATGTGTCTGCATTGGTTCCCACATAAGTCCTGCCTCAACTCAGAAGCAGCTCTCATCTCCTGGGGCTGCTTGTTCTCCCTCTCCCACCCACTTTCCCCTTACGGCCTGCAGGTGTTGGGCTGTAGCTTTTCATGGTTTTGGCCATGGCTGAATTAGTACATTTTTAATGGATGCCTTTTTCAGCACCAAGGAAAATAGCCTAGAATTTTGATAATTCTCCGTTACTCCATAAAATCCATAAAAATAGTTTGCTTAAATGCCATAGCAGTTCTTTAGGTTTATTATCATTACTATTTTAGAGACCATGGCTCCATTGTAGAAGGAGTTATTTAGATACAGCAGACTAAGTAAGTATATGGTCTTCTGCTTTTCCAGAGAAACTGAAATGATGAGGTCAAAGATCAAGCGATTTTCATTTTTGTTAGGCACAGAGCAATTTATTTTGAATCTATGCTTTTTATTTTCAGTAGCATAGGATGTCATGGAATAAGTAAAACACTTGTGGGTCGTAGTAATGGGTCATTAGTATTACAGACCCCAGTCACCTGTGATTTTTGTTCTCGTACCCATTTCCGATCATCTGTACTTTGCAAATTGCCAAGGAGATTTGTACAGCTTGCGATGCTGCTGAGTAGCTGAGCTGCTGCGATGCCTTGCTTGCTTCTCCTGCCCAGGAGGATTGCTCCAGGTCAGCTGGAGATCATCTGCCTGTAAGCGGTTGGCAGGCTCTGACTTCTCCCTGCCTTCAGAGCAACTTTACTGAATTAGTCTAAGGACAGGAGCTAAACCCTGCACCAAGGCACAGAGTTGCTGCTGACAGGTTGACCCCCAGGGGGTCCAGCTGAGTTGAAGTGGGATATGAAGGGAACAGAAGCCTGTTGCTTATGGAAAGGATTCGTGGCAAAAGAAGCAAATCCTGATGACTGTGAAACTTGGAGAGGAAGCTTGTGCTGAAGTTTATGTTGTGTTAAGGTTTTGACTTATTGATAAAACCCCAGGAAGGGAGTGAGTCTGGCTGTGTTCTCTGTTGGACTGTGTTTGTACTGAGGGCTTTCCAAGGGTGGTTGGGATAATACACGTTTCTCTTAAACCCTGGCACTCTGTGGGAAAGCTGACTGGAGTGTAATTGTAGCAGATGCTGGGTGTACTCTCTTAAACATTGAACGGGTATTGAGCTATAGAAAACATCATTTCTCCTCTTTGCATTTATTAGGTCCTGTTGGTCAGGCGTGTAGATCAGAGAGATTCCAAAGCAAGTAGCTAATGAGTGCTCTTATAAAGAGCAGATAAAAGTCACACTAAAGCTTCTTTAAGTACTCAGTTATTTATTCACAGTAACAAAACTCTGGTAAAACGTGGAGTCTGATTTTTATAAAGTACTGAGCCTCCTGGATTCCAGTGGAAATCAATGTCAGCTGTTGGTGCTAAGCATCTCTAAACATCGTATTTGTCATTTCAGACCCAGGTTAAACCTCCATTGACTTTGGGCGCTCCTTAATCAGAGTAAGGACAGCAGTATTTAGCCTCCTGACAGTCATTCTTCTTGCAGCACTGTGTGTCTCTGTTGTTCTGCTTGACTCATGGATAAGATTTTCTTTTCTTTAAAAATTCAATGTATCTTCTCTGCAGAGAGCTCTGATCTAGGGTCCTTCTCCTTACTTTGTACATAAGCATCTCTGATTGATACCCCCACAACCCTGAGAAGTATTTGCAGCTTGGGCAGAAGTGCACAAGAAATTACAGCTGTTTCTGGTGATTAAAAATGTGTTTTCTAAAATCATAAGTGGAAATGCTAGAAAAGAAAAGAAGAGAAAAGATAAGATTACTGTAGGGAGTATCCTGCACTGAACTCCCAGGCAATGTGTTAACACATGCAATGATAAGGATCAGTCAGAGGGCTAGGACGCCAGTGTATCTCAGTGCTCTGTTCTGCTTGTATTTCTTCTAAAGATATCTAAAGATCACTTTGAACATAGTGTGTCTGTGTCAGGGAGTAAGTTTGTACCATTTCTTTCTATGTTAAGGAGGAGGGGGCATCTTCAGTTTTAACATATTTTCATGGTCCAGTACGCAAGCATGAATCTCTTCACTAGAAGAATTGCGTGTGTGTATCCGAGGTTAAAAGTTAGCCATTTAAATGATAACTTTACAGGAGCAGTCATATAAAATGCAGCAGAGCATGTGGGATTGGGGATGGGGCCTTATTATTGATACTGGATTACCTGGGAGGAGACCTGGGATCCCAAAACTGATCTCTGCACCCCTCCACCATTGGAAGAAATCAGACATTTCAGACTAGTTTACCTTATTCTAGGAAATTCTCCTCATTACTTCAGAAGAAAGCAAATATTACCTCATCATCACATGCTAGACAACATGCCGAGAGGAAAATTCTTTCCAGTCCAAAATATGACTATCAGTTTTTGCACGGGAGGCAGCATCACCGATGTCTCACAGTGACTCATCATGCTTCTGGTCTGCTTTACTACCTAAGGCACAGCTTGCTACCAAATAACCATAAAATATCTGCTTGTTTTCTCAGTTATTACTACTTAATGGCACCTGTTGGATGAGCAAATTCTTTGTAAACTGTGTTTACCAGATCTGCTGTCTGTGCTCTTACAAGCATTTTGGAGCAGATGAAGCCATTAGAAAGCCTTTTCCTTTTGGTGAAACTTTCCCTAATTTGTTGCCCTTCTTTGTGTTTCAGAGAGAGTAAAACAAAAACCGGCAGCTAATTTAACTTT